GCCTTCTCGTCATCGTCGTTGTTGTAAAGCGTATGTTATTGGTCCTGACCTGGCATCCTGGCTTCAGTCACATTCCCACCCCTGTAATGTAGCTTCCCCGTGCCTTTTTTCTATAAGTAATTTCAAGAGAATTGTTCTGATGAACTTTTCTCTATAGTACCTACACTTCATGAATTTAAACGCAGTACTAGATTGGCGGCTAGGTCTCATCAGTCCACAGTTTGCTAGATATAATCGTAAGTTCTATGTTAACAGTTTATTTTGTCGCAATTCTCGCCTGTGAAACTCTCTTCCGGCTTTTGCTCTTCAGTCAGGTTTGATCTATAAAAGTTTAAGTGCAATATCAATTGTTATCTTCTGTCTTCATAATGCTTTTTCTTCCGCTGACAACACATTAATAAAGAACAAAAAGGATCATAACAACAATAGACTGTTACTCGTAAACAATATCAAAATATTTGCAAAAATCAAATAGCAAAAACAGACTTGTGATCCTTGAAGCAATATTCCTACAACAAAAATAACATTCAATAAATCAGAAAATAATTATGTAATAACATACGCTTTACAACAAGAGCCTGCATCATCAAATATATATATATATATATATATATATATATATATACATATATATATACGAAATACATATATACGTCACATCGTAGTATACCTATATCTAAACACTCTGTCGTTCTGCGAAACTCACCATTTTCTCTACCTAGAAGAAACACAAAGACAAGAACGGCTCCTATTAAATTTATTATACGTCTGATTTACCAGTTAACACGGAAGGCTATATATATATATATATATATATATATATATATATATATATATATATATATATATATATATATATATATATATATATATATATATGTTTCATTAAAAACGACAGACAAGGTAATACGGTTAAGATTTTCTTTAATTTTTCTTGTGTTCTGACAAGATCTTTTCTTTTCTGGGCAAATGGTGTGTTGTTCAGAAAAGAAAGCTCTTGTCAGAACACAAGAAAAATTAAATAAAAAGCTTAATGGTAGTACCTTGTCTGTCGTTTTTAAAAAACATGCATAAAGAAAGAATTCCTACCTAAATATACAATATATATATATATATATATATATATATATATATATATATATATATATATATATATATATATAAATGAAATAGTTGCCGACGCGTTTTTGTCCAATGTACTTTCTCAAGGCAAAAAACAAAATGAATTTCACATTACGGAAGAAAGAACAACCAAATTTTGTGAACATTCTACGGTAACTTTGTCTGTCATTACGAACATTCGAACTCCAAATTTCTGAAACGTTTGAATTGACATCCAATATGAGTTTAAATGTTCTCTTATTAATTGTACGTCTGTCATTCCATACTTTTCACATATCTTATATTTTGTTATATAAATTTTATTTACAAATGTTAATTTTCTGTTTGTTGTTCGACTGAACCTGTTCGTGTGTTCCTATCTGAGCGAACTCACCTTTTTATTTATTTTTTTGAGCCTGGGGTTCATATCTATATACGCTGCGATTTTCTAACAATATATATATATATATATATATATATATATATATATCGGGCAAGTGGTTCACTTTCTTAAAATGCTTTTGGCAGAGTTTTCCTATCATTATTATTGAATTTGGCTTCCCTGCATAAATAAATAATAATTCTATTTGAAGACTTAGTCTGAAAAAGAAAAAGAACAAAGAAAATCGACTCTATTTTGAAAACGCAATAAAAACAAAAGTTATTTTAGTGACGAAAACGATTTAATATATTTTTACTTATATTAGCCAAGTTGAACCAGGATGTGAACATTTTAATTCTAGCTTAGTAATGTTGCTTCCTAAAATTCCATGATTATTATTATTATTATTTCTTCTTCTTCTTCTTCTTCTTCTTCTTCTTCTTCTTCTTCTTCTTCTTCTTCAGTGTCTAGTTGTCAAATGTTCTCCACAACTTCCTCAGTTTAGATGCTCAAAATATCTTTTAGCTCTTTACCACCGCGTTTCGTCCTTATTCCGTCATCCATTCTCGGATCTTTCTTCGCGCTCCTTTTGCTTTCAGTATGCCTTTATGGAGGAGACACGGTGGAGTAATAGATAGCGGCTCGGATTAAGGAATCGGAGAGCCGAGTTCGAATTCCAGTTAAAATACTTACGTCCTAATAATCTTGGGAGAGGTATGAATCCTCTTCTCCCACTCCCCAGCCTTAGCAAACGGCGGATAAACCGCTATGGGCCTCAAGGAATCGGAAGTTGTGGAGAGCCATGATCGCCTAAGTTCTGAAGGGACCCGGCACAAAGAAGAAAAAATTTCTAAAAAAGCTTTGGCCTTTCCCGCTAACTTGGAGCATGTGCATGTAAATTTTGGTGCAAATCCGTCGAAAATTGCGGCCGTGCATTCGTAACACACACACACACACATACATCCTGCCTTTTATAGATTATACAAAAGTACCACTTATGTAAGTTGGTGAATATACAAGATGTTCGGCAAGTCACTATGCACTTACATTTTCATTAACAGGTACGTTTCAATATAGAATAAAAGAGTGGGGGGACATAATTACTTATTTTATTTAATCGTAATCACGCCAAGTAAGGCCACTAAGATACAAGGGGTGTGGAAGAATTAGAAACAAAAACATTACTCATTAGCGAGATAAAAAAAAAAGAGTAATCAAGTGGACAGTAGATAGCGATTGACATTGCATTTAAATTCTTGAAGATTAAAGTTGGTTGGAAAGCCTGGAGCCGGAATGTATTTCCACAAGCGAGAAGTGCGACAAAAGAAACTCTTAGCATAGAATATACGGTACATGCAGCCTACTCAACTGTAAACAGATGAGATAAACTGATGACTAGTATGATACCTAAATTCAAAAAGTCTGAGGACCATAGCGGAGGGCGATATTTATTTGTGAAAATAGAAAATGTGACACAAGGTCAATATAGGGAATGTAGTGGTGGGGAGAGGACAGACTTTTTTTGTCTTAGATGAGTATAAACTTAGCTAGCCACAAACACCGACCTAAAAACATACTACAATATTCCTAACACCAAAAGAATACATTCTGACATACCATTCTTACGACATCTACCATAATACCTCCATATTTAATTATCAACAAGGTTACGAACTGAATTGCGAACAAGGAAAAGGTTTATCTGAAAAATTAACAGCAAAATGGTGTCACAACAAATCTGTGTATCTGTCACCTTCTCGAAATACGTGTTCGACAAGAAATACATCAAGGAAGTCGCCGTAGTTCTTTTTTTTTTTTTTAAAAAAAATTGAAGAAAACGAGAAATGAGTAAAAAAAATTCGAAAGTACTTGTACTTTCGATTTTTTTCCAAGATCATCTTCAGGGGTAAATTACAAAGACAAACTTAGTGTAACTCTTCAATTCCGTTGTGATGGAGATTTTTATAAAGCACGAGTCGAAGGCGCTATGTTATTCTTATTTTGAAGTTTTAAATTTATCCGTTGTAGTTATGGAATTTCTTTGGAAAACAAGCGTTTCAATATAAGGGAGATGACTGAAAATTGCTAGAAATGTAAACTGGTATTAAATGTTATATGGACTTTAATATCTTGTTGCTATATTAGTAATAAATTCTGTTGAGTTTTGATGACTTTTAACTTAACATTAAGAAACTGATGAGAGAACTCTAAAGGATCAGTAGGAAAATAAGTAGACACAATATGTCTATATTTGTTATGGGATCTTACCAATAATAATAATAATAATGGACTATTCCATACTTAATAAATACTGCGCCTCAGGAGTAGGCAAGGAGTCAGTCGCTCAATTCTTGACCGACTGTTCGGTTGAACTCTCTGCCTTCGTGCAGGGAGGAACCCAAAGCAACGCTGAGTTTGGTATAAACGCAAACACTTTAAAAAAATTTAAAATCAAACTCAGCGTTGCTTTGGCGCGTTCCAAAACCAATAACTCATTTTCAATAGCATTTTCGGATACAACAACACATATTTTCGTTGTCCTCTTATTACTAAGAGAAAAAACCAAGAACAACATCTATTCTATACCTGAAGATGTCTGTAGGAACAGACGAAAGCTTGTAGTAAAAATAACAACTAATACGGCAGAAAATTATATAAACAAGGATCAATTCATTCATAACGGATCTGGAGGTTTTTGTATACTATTTGAATTGTTTGCGATGATGGATGTCTCGCCATTTAAAGCATTAACCTTTGCATTAGTTTTGTGTGAATAATTCATGTATTTGTAAATTGATTGCACATTTATCGTAATATATATATATATATATACACAAAAAGAAGAAGTGCTAATAAGAAAAAAGAGATAGTAAGCTAATATAGTGATGTTGAAAAGTTATACACACACACACACCTATATATATATATATATATATATATATATATATATATATATATATATACACACATACATATATATATATATATACACACACACACACACATATATATATATATACACACACAACACACATATATATACACACACACACACATATATATATATATATATATATATATATACACACACAGACACAGACACACACACACACACACACACACACACACACACACACACACACACACACACATATATATATACAGGAATATCTAGTGTTAAACGTAGATTCCTTTCCCGGGAAGGAGGGAAAATGAGCGACATGTGATTATATATGAAAGATATTTTTCTGTCGACGACTTTTTAAAAATCAAAATCAAAATAATCCTCAGCTTTTACATGCACTTAACAACAGCGGGTGGCGTACAGTCATTTTCCCGCCATAATGTGAACGTTTCTGTTCGTTCTCAACGCTGAGCATATTTTACGCCAAGCACCGCTGCGAAACGTAATGCATCAATAACTACCTTCTATTTTGGTCTTCTTTTTTTTTTTTGCGAGGGCTGGGAGCATTTAGTGAAATCGTCAAATATGATTATGTAATTATCTACAACTTCATTATGATAAAATGTTGTTTTTTAGTGAGAAGAATGGCGAAAGGTGTGTGGTCTCTGAGAATGGGGAAAAAATGAAGGGGAGGAGAAGTTGCAGGTAGAAAATGAGAATGGGGAGAGAATTAAAGGAAAGCAAAAGGAAGAAAAGGAGAAATGCGTAAAAGATTTTGCAAGAAGCAGACGACAAGGAGAGGAAAAACAAGGAAGGTGCAGGAAGAGGAAGCAAAAATGAGGAAAAACGGAAGAAGAAGAAGAAGAAGAAGAAGAAGAAGAAGCCTTGAGCGGGTTGAAGAAGGAGGGGGAGGAAGAAGTAGATTAAAATAAGAAGAAAAAGAAAAGAGGAGGAGAAGGAGGAATTAAAAAATAAGAAGGAAAATGGAAAAGAGAAGAAGAAGAAGAAGAAGAAGAAGAAGAAGAAGAAGAGGAGGAGGAGTGACGAAGAGAAATATTTCGGGTGTCGAAGAAGGGCGGGAAGATAGGCAGGAGTAGAAAAAGGAAAGAGAAAAAAGAGGGAAGAGAAAAAGAAGCAAAAATACGAGAAGAAGAAGAAGAAGAAGAAGAACAACAACAACAACAACAACAACAGCAAGAGAAATAGAGGAGTGACGAAGAAAAATATTTCGGGCGTTGAAGAAGGTGGGAAGATACGGAGGAGTCGACAAAAGGAGAGGAAAAAGGAGAACAGGGAAGAGAAATAGAAGCAAAAATACAAGAAGAAGAAGAAGAAGAAGAAGAAGAAGAAGAAGAAGTGCTAATAACAAAAAAGAGATAGTAAGCTAATACAGTGATGTTGAAAAGTTGTTGTTTGTATCGATGAGGGTGTGACTGGGACAACAACAAAGATAATCTTCTTCCTCCTCCTCCTCATCTTCATCATCAAACAGACGACTGCGATGTTGGTAACAACACACAGAGAAAAAGAATACATGTTCTAAAGATAAGATAATCTACAATTAAGATGTAAAGGCAATAGAATTAGAGGAAGGCAAAGATGGCCCTGCTTGTGATGGACGTCGTGAAAAATGTCTCAAAAGAAGATGACATCGAATGTAAAAGTGTTCATGGGAATGTCATTGCGGGCCTGGTAATGATGATGGTTATGACGAAGGAGCAGACAGATAACGTTTAGGAGGAAGAGGAGGAGGAGAAAGAGAAAGAGGAGGAGGAGGGGGAGGAAGAAAAAGAGGAGGAGTAAGAGGAGGAGGAAGAGGAGGATGAGAAAGAGAAAGAGGAGGAGGGGGAGGAAGAAAAAGAGGGAGGAGGAGGAAGAGGAGGAGGAGAAAGAGAAAGAGGAGGAGGGGGAGGAAGAAAAGAGGAGGAGGAGGAAGAGGAGGAGGAGAAAGAGAAAGAGGAGGAAGGGGAGGAAGAAAAGAGGAGGAGGAAGAGGAGGAGGAGAAAGAGAAAGAGGAGAGGAGGGGGAGGAAGAAAAAGAGGAGGAGGAAGAGGAGGAAGAAAAAGAGGAGGAAGAAGAGGAGGAGGAGATTATGTGAAGAACAAGATAAGAAGGGGGAGGTGGAAGAAAAAGACGAGAGTATAAATTAAAGAAGAAGAAAAGCGGGAGGAAAATAAGGAGCGGAGAAGGAGTGGGAGGATAAAAAGGAAGGGGAGAAAAAAGAAGGAGGATTAAGAAGAAATATACCAGAAAAGTAAATTAAAAGAGAAAAGAAGGAGGAAGAAAATGGAGAGGAGGAGGAGGAATATAAGAAAGAAAATAAGAAAGAAAAAAATGAGGAAAAAAATGATGGGACGAGAGATGAAGAAGACAGAAGAGGATTGAAGGAAGGACAAGGAAGAATAGGAAAATAAGGAGGGAGAAGAAGAAAAAGGTTGAAGAAGAAGAAGAAGATGAAAAACAAGAAGAAGAAGAAGAAGAAGAGAAGGAAGAACAACATGAAGATAAAGAAGATGAAGAAGGTGAAGAAGAGATGATGAAGAAGAACATGAAGAACATGAAGATGAAGAAGAAGAAGAAGACGATGAAGAAGATGAAAAAGAAGAAGATGAAGAAGAAGATGAAGAAGAAGAAGATGAAGAAGAAGATGAAGAAGAAGAAGAACATGAAGAAGAAGAAGAAGATGAAGAAGAAGAAGATGAAGAAGAAGATGAAGAAGAAGAAGAACATGAAGAAGAAGAAGAAGATGAAGAAGAAGATGAAGAAGAAGATGAAGAAGAAGAAGAACATGAAGAAGAAGAAGAAGATGATGAAGAAGATGAAGAAGAAGAAGAAGATGAAGATGAACATAAAGAAGATGAACATGAAGAAGAAGAACATGAAGAAGAAGATGAAGAAGATGAGGAAGAAGATGAAGAAGAAAAAACATGAAGATGAAGAAGAAGAAGGAGATGAAGAAGATGATGAAGAAGAAGATGAAGATGAAGAAGAAGAAGAAGAAGAAGAAGAAGAAGAAGAAGAAAATACGTAAAGTTTGAAGAAATAGAAAGATGAGTAAAAGAAAAGAAAAGAAGTGGAAGAGGGGGAAGAAAACAGCTCAAGAAGAATACGATGATCACAATGATGTTGATGATGAGAGGGATACGAAGATGAAGGAAAGAAGGAAGGAAAAGAAAGAAAGAAAGAAAGAAAGAAAGAAAGAAAGAAAGAAAAAGAAAGAAAGAAAGAAAAAGTAGATAATGATGTTGATGCTGAGTTTAAAAAATTAAATTATCAACGAAACCGCGAGGTAATGGATCACAGTGGTTTGAAAAAGAAAGCGAAAGAGAGACTGAAACAAGGTTACAGAGACAGACACAAAGAAAGAAAGAAAGAAAGAAAGAAAGAAGGAAGGAAGGAAGGAAGGAAGGAAGGAAGGCGGAGTAGAGAAGACAAGTCGAGCAACAAGGTAGAATTGAGACGGGAAAAATTCTCAAGATGGCGGAACAGAAATGATTTGAAACAAAATCCAAATAGGTTTAACAAAAGAAAAGAAGGGAAAGAATGAACAATGAAAGAAATTGGAATGAGTAAAGAAGAAAATAGAACATCACAAAAAGAAGAAATTGGGTAAAGAATATGAACAAAAAAAAAGAAAAGAAAAAGGAATCAAATCTAAAATAACTAACGAAATGCTTGAAGGACAAAACAGCGTAAACATTCGGTAAAATATCATTACGAAAGAGAAAACAGAAAATGCCGATGTTTACATAGGCACCATACAAGTCCTCAACAACAACGACATAATATAATAAACAGTAAGAAACAGTATAATGAAATTAATATTAATAAAATGGCGAGTATATAAACCTGATAATCCTAATCAAATAACAATCAAACAATAATGTTGATTATAACTGAGAAAGAACGTGACGTAAAAGAAATGAAAGCGAGGCTATTAATATAAGCAAATGGACCCGTAACCTGACATGTAGTTATTAGCTGAAAACATCATCTATAATGTTGTAGCTATAATGTTTGAACAATGTGATTAACATTACACTACTTATCTAAGACTAACGTCACAGAACATTGCTTTTGGAAAGATATCTGCTGTGTAAAAAAAAAAATAAAATAAAATAAAATAAAACGTCATTTGCTTACGGATATAGTGATTCAAGTCCTAAGTACGTATTGAGTTTTCCCGCTATTTTTAATTCGTAATAACACTGGGAAACAGGGTGACACCAAGTCTCGTCAGGCACTCGCCTGAAATCCAGCTGATTTGAGTATTAATGTCGCCGAGGGACTTTTCGATATTTTTGTTATGAAAACGAAAGACCGCCCTTCTCAAAAAAAAAAAAAAAGATCGCGAGATATGAGAAGCAGACGACAGAGAAAGCGAAGCGAAGTGAAGGTTACCGTTTTGTTTTCTTTTCTTTTTGTTTCTTGACCTTGCCTAGTGGCTGGTTGTGAGCTGTTCTGGGTGTGACGATAAACTACATCCAGCAGCAAGACTTCTGATCGAGAAGTTCTGAGGAGCATGGAACCACCTCTTAATTGCTCTGGTTCCAGGGTCCACCCTGAACCAGGGTGGTAGCTAACCCTGCCAAACAGGAGTCGACACACTATGAAAGTATACATATTTTCATTGTAAAAATAGTAATGGAAACATTGTGGAGTAATGGATAACGATCGAGTAGAGGAATCGAAGAGCCGAGTTCGAATTCCAGTCTGATCCATTGCATTCACTTACGTGCTAATACCCTTGGGAAAAGTATGCATCCTCTTTTTCTCTACCTTTTTTCTATGGGTAAATAGCAGGACAGACTGGATCCTATAGCCTTGGGTAACAACCGATCTAGGAGAAACTCTGAATTCAAAAACTGTATGTCGCTCTGGCGTGGTACATACTATACAGCTAAAGAAGGTATTGTCTGCATTGGTTCGATGATCCCGACTGTGGTCGAATGATGTGAGTTGTTGTGGCTCGGAGGTAGTTGTAGGTCATTGTCGCTAGCGTGAACATTGAGTGTTACCAGCGAACTTTTTTGTCAGCACATTTGGTTTCAACTTTCTCGAATTTTCAGTTACTCTTGCTTGTTTTTTTGTTTTTTGTTTTTTGTTTTTCTTTAATATGGTTCTTCAATGTAGTTATTCTTATTTGAACTCAATCAGTTTTTATAACGTTGCTATTATGAATAATATCAATGAATAAAATATTCATTGACTTTTCCTGGTAACAACATTATTTGTAGCCATTGTGTTTTTATACTGTCATTATTTGTAGCCATTGTGTTTTTATACTGTCATTATTTGTAGCTATTTTCTTTTTATATTGCCATTGTTATTTGCAACTAGACAATTTTATACTGTCATTATTTCTACATTTGTATTTTAAACCCTTATTATTTATACTTTTGGGTTTTATAATTTCATTATGATTTGTAGCCATTGTCTTTTTATACTGCCATTATTTGTGGCCATTTTGTTTTTATACTGGCATTATTATTCGTAGCCATTGTCTTTAATACTACTATTATTATTTTTTGATATTGCTATTATTATTTGTAGCATGTGCCATGCGTGATACGTGATGCGTGATGAGGCATATTTTCCTGCAGTAGGTTTCC